GTCCCCCCCCCCCTTTTTTTTTCTTGAGAGGCATATAACACATTTCTGACCAATCAGATGTATGCAGAGATGTTGGGTAAAGCATCCCTTCGCAGTTCCTTCTCTTCTTGACTGTTTGGGCTCTGGTGGTAATTTTGGGATCACAAGGTGGCCATGAAGAAAAGTCCTGGAAACCTCAGTCCTGACTCCCTTGAACTGCCAAAGCAGGTCTCATTATAGGGAAGAAATAAAACGCCAAAGTTGTTCTTCAATTTCCCACCCTCTGGTCAATGGCTAGCACCCTTTCCACCCAGGAAGCTACCCCCTGCCCAGCCACATCCAAGTTAAACCTGCTCTCCTCACCCTCCAATCAGGTCAATGAGATGCATGGGGTGGGAAGAACATCCTGGCAGTTGGTCTTCTCAGGCTAGGGTGTGGCTGGGACTGGCTGTGAGGCCCCTATTTCTTTTTTTGTTTTTCAGTGAGGTTTTAGCTATAGGGCATGTGCACTCACCAGAGAGAGACAGAGAGACAGAAAGTGAGAAGTCACCCCCCAGGGGGGATGGCCATGCTGCAATCCCTTCTCCAGTCTCCTCTCAAGATTTTGGGCAGCATGCACATGCACCCTGTATGAGTTTCGAGCTGCTGGGTCCAGGACTCAAACAGTGGTTGACTACACAGGAGTCCAATGATGCAACCATTATGCCATCTGCTGGTCCTAAGTCCCCTATTTCTAAGGCAAGTGCTCATTTCCTTTTGGACACTATCTTTAATCTCTAGTGCAGCCAGTCAAGCTCCCTATTCTATTTTTGGTTAGTTTGGGGGGTAATGTATGGGCAAGGGTTGACCCGATGAAGACCCACTCCCTCATTCCTTTGTTATTCATTGGCCATGCAGCCAGGGATGTGGGGTTTTCTCTCTACTCAGAGTAAAAAGGCTTTCTTCAGGTTGGGCAACAGTTTGTATTTTATTGCATATAGAACCCTGCCATAACTGCTCGTTGATTCCCTCCTCCCCCCAACATTATCTTTGTGATATCCCCTCTTGAGGCCACTTAGCTGCCCCATTCTTTCTGGGATAGAATAATGATGTCCCTTGGATAGGCAGGGGGAGATCCGCAATTCATCACTGTAGTCCTCTTAAACATATTCATACTTAAATAAGCACCCTTGGGAGTTTCAAAGGATATTAAGGTTGGGATGGAGTTACAGGCCACTCTCATCCAAGGTACAGGTTGGAATGAATTAAGGCTGTTCTATCTTGGGCCTCAGATGGTGAAGAGGGAGGATCTTCTGGGATTTAATGAGGCATATCCTCCCCAAACTTGTCCCGGTAGGCGATGTTCTTCACGTCTAGGAGAGCCTGAGGAGAAGGCAAGAACAATATAGGTGAGAGAACATGAGGGCCCTCTACTTAGGAGGCTGCCCCACTCCAGCCCTCATTCACTCTGTCTCCCACACCACACAGAATAGTCATGAGATGCAGCCACACAGAAGTGTCTGTGTTCGGGACCAGCAGTTAGTGTAATAGTTATGTTGCTGGACTTCCATATAGTCGACCGCTACTGGGCACGTGTGTGTGCATGCCCAAGATCCCGAGAGGAGAATGGAGGAGAAAGGATTGTGGTATGGCCATCTCCCCTGGGGGATGATTTCTCTCTTTCTGTCTCTCTGGCGAGCACACACGCCCTATAGCAAAAATGCTTCTCAAAAAAAAAAAAAAAAAAAAAAAAAAAAAAAAAAAGTGTCTGTGTTCTCTCCATACCCAATCACAGAAGGGTGTGGGGGGATGAGTGTTAAAAGGTCTACCCACCTCATGGTGTACATAGGCCTGGCAGGGGTAACACCAAGCAGACAGGTCAACGTAGCTGAGGACCAATGGGTGTCCAGAGTCTTCATAGTGTCGGAGCATGTGGGCATTTACATAACGAGCGCAGTAGACCTGAGGTGGGCGAGTAAGCATCAGTAGGTTAAGCAAGCCCCCTGTGGTTTGCTCCTAGGTCAACCCACATCCCCACGGCCAATCTCCTTGCCCCTGCTCCTTACCTGATAGCAGGACAGACACACCCAATTCTCCCTGCACGTTCCACAGTCCTGGCAAGGCTGGGTCACATTTAAGCCTGCTGCAGGTGTGGGGCATACTGCCACCAAATGGGGACACCAGGACCGTGGCATTACAGCATAAAATGTGGCCTACAGTGGGTGAATGAAACTGAGTAAGCTGAGGATCCTACCTCCCCATTATATGTTATTACATCACATACTTCTACCTGGAGACACAAAGAAACAAGAGAAAGAAGCCACAGTTCCAGCCTCTCTCTGAGCTTACCTGTGTAGTGTCAACAAGGTTCCCAAATGCCTGCATCAGCATAGAATCATCCATGGCCTGACCTCCAGCTGCCTCTCCTAGGAGGCCCTCCTCTTCTGGGGCCTGAGATTCTGTGGTTGCCTAGACACACAGAAACAAAAGATGTATCAGAGGGGCCTGATCTTGCCCCTTCTTCCCCCTACCTGGGTGTTGTGGGCCGTACCTGTGCTTTGTTGTCTAGTTCCAAGGTTTTGTTATTCCCAGTCAGCTGACTGAGAGATATTTGGGGTTTGGCTTCTTGCATAGGTGAGGTAGGGGTGGTCTGGTCTTCTGTGCATGAGTCTAGAGGAGTTTGGATCAGTTCTGCTCCCTTCACAGCCTCCTCTGAGGTGGTCTGGTCAAGTGTAGCTCCCCTTGAAGTCTTTTCTGGAGTGGTCTGGTCTATCATGCCTTCCCCTTCGGCTGCCTCTGCGATGGTCTGGTGCAGCATGGCTTTCCCTCCAGTCTTCTCAGAGGTGGTCTGGCCCAGAGTGGCTTCCTTTGCTGCCTCCTCCGAAGTGGTCTGGCACTGTGTGGCTACCCCCTCTGCCTCCTCTGAGGTGGTCTGGTCCTGTGTGGCTCCCCCTGCCACCTCCTCTAAGGTGGTCTGGCCCTCGGTTGCTCCCCCTGGTGCCTCCTCTGAGGTGGTTGGGCCCTGTGTGGCTCCCCCCACAGCCTCCTCTGAGATGGTCTGGCCCTCTATGGTTCCCTCCACAGCTGCCTCTGAGGGCTGCTCCACAGTCAACACCACCACAGCTGTTTCTGACTTAGTCTGGCTTGGAGTGGACTCTTCTGCAGATAATGCTGCGGTGACCTTCCCCATGCCTGCTCCCAGGATGTTCTCTTGTGGCGGGGTCATCCTCTCAGTCAACCCAGGATTGGCTGGTTGGGATGCCTTCTTGGTAACAGACTTAGAAATGGAGAGTTCCTCCTTGTCTTCTGCCTCTGGAAGCATGGCAGGAGGTTGTTGAATGCAGATGCTGTCCTCTTTCCAGTCTCTAAAACTGACCTCCTCCCCTCCTCCACTCAGTGCCCCCACTGGCCTCAGTTCCCCACATGCACTTACTTGTGACCCGCAAGCTACGCCAGTATCTGCGATGGACTTGGATGGTCTCAGTGATGGAGGCCAGGGCTCCTGAAAGCGGGGGCCGCTGCAAGGCCAGCAGGGGAGGTGAGTCTCCAAGGAGAGAGTGAATGCAGGCGGCCATAGACTCTGAGATGGATGTCAGGTTATAACCAC